ATGGCGCACGTCCGCTCTCCAGAACCCGAAACTGCCTGTGGCTGAAGCTGTGGATACCAATTACTCAGCTGGCGCCGAGTAGCTGGACCCTGCCTTTGTTGCAGTGTTGACTCGCACCCAGCTGTGCTTTACTTTCAGCTGCTGATGTTCTTTAGATTAAAAACACAACTTCAGTGCATCTGCAGAACGGTCATAAATATTTCTATTTCTTTTTTTTCTTCTTTTTCTTCTGATCCTTCTGTTTCCAACCAGTCATTTCAAATCAGAAGTTCTTGTTCCGATGAAAACCAGTAAACACTCCTCTCACTGTGGCACTGGGCAAACTGGAGTTTGTTTGATCATGTGATGAGGCGGCAGCCACCGGGCTCCCCACATCGCCAGCGGTAAGTGCTCCGCAATCCAATCACCAGTTGCTTTTAATTAATCCCATTATGGCATGAAAAAGGGAAAGGCACAAATAGCAAAGTATATGAAATGAACAGACTCACAGTTTTTTAGCAACAGAAAAAGCCTTAACCAAACCATCTTTCAAGGAAGAAATCATCTTTCAGTTTCTATTCAGGCTAGTCCAGTGACTCTCAAGCCAACTTTTACATTACAACAGGGTTTCCCAAGCAGCAAGTGAGAGGAAGCCAAGCATGGACCTGTTGTATCAAACTCTACAATTTTTCAAAGCTACTCACTAGGAATCACACTGGAACCAAACAGCTTCATCAGCTGGGATTAGGGCTTTTCATCTGGGTCTCAGCTGACCATGAGCAAAGGGCTGACAACAGGCTGCTGGTCCACGACCAAGGGCAGCCAGGACATCTCCACAGCCTGAAGGGCCATTCCCCTTCCCAGATTCAGCTCAAGCAGGTCAGTTTAAGATGCTTTGTTACCAGCGAGCAGAGCATGGAGACCTTCATTTTGTAGGCAAGCTGAGTACAACCATGAAAGTTTCATCCTGTTTGACCATAGCTTGGAGTAATTCTGGACTAGCTGAATGGTTATCATTTGCACCCCATTATATATGAGCGGTAAGAAGTATTGCTATTAGATCCTGCAATAAAAACAATGTTTCTCAAAGGTGAGCATAGGCTAGCATAGTTCTCCACAAAGGCTACATAAAGGGAGCTTTCACATCCTATCATCTTTTACGACACTCTACTGATGAGGTTATATGAACCGAACTGTAATACACAAAGGATTAACAGAAGAGACAAACGCAAGTAAGATCTACTGTAGGCTCCGAAAAGGTCCATTCCAGTGATCAGCCATGTAATAACCTTTATAACTAAGGCATACAAAGGGATCTAAGCTGTTCCCAACCCCCATGCTACTGCTTATGAACAGAGCCCGTTTTGAAGGTAGCAGTCTAGTGAAACAAAGTTCAACCCTCAGCTGAAATTCTCTTTCTTACAGAAACAGAAGGGCTGTTTTACTCTTTCCTGCACTTCAAAGCCAGACATCGACAGTGCAAGCACGAAAGGAGGCTGTGTCCCGCCAGGAGCAGGCGGGCAGCAGCGGCCGACTGGTGACGAGCAGCACGTTAGTCCCAGGAATCCATCAATGCAGTGCCCTCGGGGTGCTCCTGGACTGTTAATGCTGGGAGAAGACACTTTAGCAAGGGAAAGTCTGAGGCTACTGCTACCATATTCAGTGTATATTATCCATGCGTCATTGCTCAGTGCTGTAAGCTTTTGTTTTCTGTATACTGTTTAGTCGTCCAATGCATAAAAAGTGCACTGCACAACATAAATCCAATAAACCAAAGCCATGCAGAGTTTTACCCAGTGGCAGCTCAGTTATTTTTTACAATCTGCATCCTATCCACTCCTTGGATTTTGGATAGACCCAGGCTTTGGCACTCTGAAGTTCAGCATCAACCAGCTGCCCAGGCTACGTGGTTCTCACTTCAGCTACAAAAAGAGAGTCAACCTGCTAGCAACCTCCATATGTCTGATAATAATCACAGCAAGGTCTAAATTCCCTGCTTCCAAGTCTGTAATTGCACAATAAATACTTGCTTAATAAAGCTGAGTTCTGTTTTGTAAAGTGCCTGTTGGTTATTCATAGAAATTTGATGTGGAAACGGTCTATTAAGTCCCTTCTAAAGCATTCCCCGTGCATCTGCAGACCTGCTCTCTCGGGTATTTTTCTGGCAAAGCGTTACATGGTGAACAAGCAGATTGTGGCAGAAAGTTAAAGATGACATTTGACTTCACCTTTGAGTATAAGACCACATTTCTCTTATGCATATAAATATAGGTATATTGTATAGATAGATGGAGATAAAATTCTCCATTTCTGTGATCTGGTTCTTTGAAGAAAGATCTAGGAGGGAAGTAGTGAAGCCATGGCAAGTTTTAAGGATTAACTGCAGCATAGATAAAAAGTGTTAAAAGGCTCCGCATGAGGATTTTAATTTGAACAGTGAAATTCAGCTAAAAGAGCTTGAATTGGCTAAAACCAGAAAAAGAAATAATGTTTTGGTTTATAAACCCCTCTGGAAATAACATCTGTGGGGATGTTTTTATTTGCAATGGAAGACTGAGATCTCTCCCCCCTTTTTTTCTCCAACCACCAGGTAGCTTCGGCCAGTCCAACCAGCGCCAGCCCTCTCCAGGGGGTTGCTCCTTTGGCTCAGTGCAGCTATTTTCCAGAGGTATGGAAACTCAGTTTGCTAAAAACAGAGACATTAGGCACATAAGAACTCAGCCAGAAAATGGGAATAAATACACAAGTCAGTGTCTGCAGAGGAGGAAGGCAATGCTGTTGGAGCACAGGCAGCTTGCTCAGGAGCAGCTCTCGTAGTAGGCGACGCGCTGGTTGATGGCGTCCCGGATCCTTCCCACCCGCTCCTCCAGGCCCGACAGCCTGGCCGACTTGGACATCAAAGCCTTGTTGCTTTCCTGAATTTCAGTCTCTAAAGCTGGGAAGAGAGGAGACAGGAAAGGGTTACGTGCTGATCAGACAAGAGGAAAGCATGATGGCCATTACCCTCCCCAGCAGGTTGGGATGAGCCTCCACCTCCCTCCTGTAACAGCTCTGGTGGGGTCACCTCCTCCTGCTTTCTTCTCCCCCTCATAAAACCCCGACGTGACTGCTCCAAACAAAGCCGTTACTTTTGAATGCTTAAAAATGGAAGCGAGCGTGTGGAGGAAAACGGGCACATCGGCATCGCGAGCGGGGCGTCCCTTCCACGGCCACCCACCCCCCCTTGCAAATTCTAAATTTACTGGCACAGCACCAGCAGATGCAGCCCAAATCTGCACCATCTCACTGCCAAAAGTATGTTGTCTTCCTCTAATTTCTTCCCCTCGCCGCGCTGAAAAGCCCTTCCGCAGCGCGTGAGATTATTACACTGAGTTCACAAAGAGTCTTACTTTCCATCCTGACCATCACAGCCAAAGTCTCCTCAAGCAGAGCCTGTGCCTCCAGATCTATGCTCTGCACCCTGCCGCCCTGCTCTCCCAGAGGCGGGCTCTGCTCCATCCTTCTCTTCAGCTCAGTGTACATTTGTTTCACTTGTTCAAAAGCCTGTGGAACAGCAAACAGGCACTGTAGGTAGGACCAAGCAAATAGGCTGGGGGAAAGGGGATTTTCCGATGCTGAATCCATTTTAAATATTAAGCAGATACTGCACTAGAGCTTTGCCACGATGTTCTCACACAGTGCATAACAGTTTGTGATGAGCTGCGAAAGATGCTGACTGACAGCCGTGTGGGCTACTCTGCCCAAGGCAGGAGGTGCAGCAGAGATAAGTTTCCAGCAAAAACCACTAGGATTGAGAAACATCCCGGAAAAATTCGGTAGTGGCGTGCTGCATCAGATTAATAAGCAGCGACACGACAATGCACAAG